CTATTGGTGCATATACTGAAATCACATTTATTGTTTTTCCTTGTATTTGAATTTCTACTTCTATACATCTTTCTTCCTCATCATTTAATATTTCTTTTGATAGACAGTTTTCTAGCACACAGATAGCTACCCCTCTCTTCTCTTTTTTTGAGAAGGCTGAATTATAGCATTTCCCTATTTTCCCATTCTTTGGATATTTAACATCCTGTTTTCTAATATGGGTTTCTTGTAAGCAAATTATTTGGTTTCTTTCAATTCCCAAGAAATAGAACACTTGTTTTCATTGTTTATTTTTCAGAGTTCAGTCCCTGGACATTCCAAGTCAAAATTTTATTTGCCATTTTAGTCCTCTACTTTCTTTGCTTTTAAATCTCTTTTTCTCCTTCCTCTTCTTCCTTTCCTGATTCCTCTGAGTCTATCCCTTCTTCCTCTTGTTCCCTTGCCTCTAAATTTGTGAAGTTTCTTTTTTCTACTTCTGGTCTTGCTTCTTTAAGATCTTGTGACTCTAGAAACTTTCCTTTTACTTTCTCCCTATTTTCCCCTTCCTGCCCTTCTTCTGTCTTATCCAGATCTGTCCCATATTTTCTCAAAAGTTCCTCTGCTTTTGAGTGGAATTAATTCTAAACCATTTTGCTCTGAACTGCAGTGAAATTCCCTCAGTCATTTCCCATTTATATTTCATCTTTTTTGCAATATTTTTGTCAAAAATAGTAATCTCTTATTGCTTTTAATACTTGAGATGGAATATCCTTATATATTTTCATTTCCTCCTATTTCTAGTTTTCTAATATACGGTAATTTTCCTGTAGGATTTTATTTTTCGTGTACTCTCATGTAAAATATACTACAATATCCCTTGGTAGATTCTTTTTCTTCACCACTACTGAGTCTATTCTAAAATTTTTATCTCTTTCTCATTGGAAGTCTTTTATTTTTACCCTAATAAATTTGACCAGAGCTGGAATTAGAAGTTTATACAGGTCTTCCTGTTCTCCCTCTTCTGGGATATCTCTAATTTTTAAGCATTTTACTCTCTGTCTCATTTCTCATCTAACAATTGACTCTTTGCTTTCTCTCTGTTCTACCTTTTCCCTTTCTTTTAGCCTTTCTTTTCTCCAATTTACTAATCTTTTCTTGGGTTTCAGTCAGATCTTCTTTTATTGTTTTTACATCTTGTTCCATTTGAGATATAGAGCTTTTAAACTGATCTAGATCAGCTTTAACTTGATGTTTTACCTCTCTCATTTCTTGTTTGATTTCATTCATTTGTTCTAACATCTTATTTTCCATACTTTTAAACTCTAACAAAAGGCTTTCCACTGGATCTTGAACAGAAGGAGGGGGGCTTTGTTTGGAAATCTATAGACAATTTTCTTGTCTGCATTGGCTTTTGCTTATCCTTTTCTTTCTGCATTCTTAACTTTTCCAATGTATATTTTTATGTTTTCAGTACTTAGTGTTTCCTTTACCATTTTGTACCCTTAAAACATATCCACTTCTGTCTCCAATCTTTAACTTCTCTTATCTACTTAATATTAATTTTGAAACAGAGTTAAATATCAGTTCAAATACCACCAAAGCAAGTATGTCAATAAGTTGTAAACCAACAGTCACAGTAAATAACATATATTTCTTAAGTCTCTAAACCGCTTCAGTCTTTGCTAATTCCAGCCCTTTTCTCCAGCTGCTAATTCTAATCACCTTATCACAGCTGGTATATTGGCCAAGGTTAGTTTAAACAGATCTTTACAGTTCTTTCTTTTAGTTTCTATTGTAATCCACCAAATCTTTTTGAATGTTCCTAGAGACTTTAAGATAGTCCTTCAAATCTCAAACTCTCATTATTCATAAACCAATGTTATGTTCAAACCGTTGGTTATTCCAGTTTATCCTCAGTTTTTTTCAATTCCGCCCCAGGTTGTTTTTCCTTGCCTTCCAGCCAGTCTTACTCAGTCTTCCTTGTGGTCTTTGATTTCTTCCTTTTCTTTTCCTATTCTTTTCTTGCTCTTAATTTGGTCTTTTCAATCACAAACTCCCATTATGTTATCCTAAGGTCTTTTGTTATTTTCTCTTTTAAAGGACTCACTCCGCTCTGACAATACTCACTTTGCTTCTCACCTTGCTCTGTTCTTTGTAACCTTCCAAACCCCCTCCAGTTCTCTTAATTGTTAGTTAATAGTCCGTTGAAAAAGTCTTTATTCGCAGTATGTTTTGCATTCTATCTCCTATCTCCTCTTTTAAAAATAAAGCGGATGGCTTGTTTTCCATAGAAAACCCACAGTGTTGTGGCTGCCTTGCATATCCTCCTCCTGGCAAGTCTGTTTTTCAACTCCCTTTCTTCTATTCACAGATTCCCCCCCCCCCCTCTCCGGAGTCAGCGTTTGATTGACTCTCCTCCTAGTTCATCCTCTCCTAGATGTAACTTTTGAGTCAGCTGAAAAAATCTCTTAGCTGACTTGCTGGTAATCTGAAACCGCCACAGCTTCGATCCTTGCAATCAGAATCTTGCTGCTTTTGCCAGCCACACCCACTGGGAGTCATTTCAATAATGCAGTAGTTTAGACATGGTACATATGTTCCAAAAGGCTTGTCAAAAGTAATTACATTTGACTTTTGGAGATACTGGCAAATTACTGTATGTATTCATTCCTCACCCCCCACCCTGGACATAAGGTCAACGTGATATCAAGATGTACAGAGATATGTCAGAGTTATCCAATTGTCCTGTCTCCTTTTTTGCCTGAAATGCCCTCCTTGTTCTTGTAAAGTGCATGAAATCTCATCTTGAAAAGCAAGTAATCTTGATTTAAATAGCATTTGTTGTGTATAAGGAGGATAGTTTTTTCAGCATATAGAGCTTGTACTCTTCCAGAAAAAAAGTGAGAAATAGTAAAATCATCTCTGCTCTACCTTGGTGGTATGGATTCTAGGTATCTGGAAAGCCATGACATTGAAGAAAATTAGCCAAAATCCTGTTGCCAAGAATTAAAAAAGCATGTAAGGTCAATATAATAAAACAAGATTCTAGCCATTGTTGTTTTTTGGGGGAGCTACACTGACATTTCAACCAAACGTGTACACCATGTAACACTCAAGATCTCCCTAAAGAGAGTATGAGGTTTGGACAGGGAGTCACTGTGGGCACAAATCTACCATCTTTTTCTGAGGTAGGTCCTCTAAACCTCAGGAGTATATAGCATCTGCCCCATGGACAAGCCTGGCCATTAAAGAAAACTTTTGCTTACGTTTAAGTACGGGCTCTGTGTTACCTCAGAACACACAGACAGCTCTGCTAGGAAGGACCTCTCAGTGGTAGCAAGTTAGTGACCTATTCCAATCCACTGGATTTAAGTGTAACCTTGCTGTTCAAGAGACTAGTCCTCAGTTGAGATTTGTACCGTATTTTTCGCTCCATAAGACGCACCTTTCCATAAGACGCACCAATTTTTTAGGAGAAGAAAACAGGAAAATATAAACTGTTTTCTTCGCTCCGTAAGACGCACAGACTTTCCACCCCCCTGTTTTGTGGAAAAAAAGTGCGTCTTATGGTGCGAAAAATACGGTAATTAATTTTTATTAAGAAAATATAGATTCTTAGAAACAGTTTGTCTGCAAGAGCATTAGCACATATCCAAATATTACAATGGTTAAATAAAGCTGCTATTTCTTATCTAAATAAGAAACACTAAAATCTAAGGTAAAGTGGGCTATTCCCACCAACTCCTTCTCCTTACCATGCTACATTCTGTAAGCATTCCCTCACATAGCACAATCAATTCGGAAAAACTCCAAAAAGCTTGAAAAGCTAAAAGAAGCTTAAACACATCCCATCATCCATCTTTTTCTTACATCTCTCAGACCTCCTACTTTTTACACTCAATAGCTGTAAGCCAATTAACTTCAAAGAGGCGTAACACAACTCTCCACCCAGAATTCACATGAAGATCCAAGTGTGTTATCTTGTTACTAATTAAGATAGTATATGTTTGGGTTTCACGCAGGGCCTCTTTGTCCTTGCTTTGTTATCGCAGTTCTCTCTGTACCAGGCAGTCAGTGAATCTGAAAAGCAGTCTCATTTGTCTTACACATTCCAGTGCCTTAAAATCATGTCACTTTGAACCTAACAGTCTACATTATTTTCTGACTACAATCCCACTCTCCTTCAGATGATCACACACCAAATGTCTGAACCAGCAATTTGTCTTAAACTGATTAGGATTACTGTCACTACAACATATTATTCATAGAATAAAACTAGCATATATCACAAAGTACAAATAGTTGTCTGAACCTGCAGATACTGTTATAATGAGCAATATATTTATTGTAGGAAGTTACCATTTGTTGTGCAGTACCAACCCTCAGAAACTTGATAATTAAAAACTAGAAACAGGAAGGTGTGATTCCTTTGAAAGCTTTTTTTACACAAACATTTAAAAGAGCAAGTCTCATGTATTGGAACAGAACTTTTTTGCCTTTTCATGTTGCACAAAATAGAGTGTAAGTGGGAAAAACACACCATTATTCTAGATTTTTTTTCAAAAAAGAATCCCTTTCTGAGTAGTGAGTTCTATAAATTGAACAGTTTTATTAATTTCAAAAAAAAATAAGAATAACAAACTCTAACATATCAACTTAAAAAGAATTTTTAAAAACCCACAGTTATCAACTCTGTGCTCACCACCACCATTGGGTCTAGTTTCATTTTTATTTTATATTATGTTATTTCTGGTATGTGTCTTTGAAAAAGGGAAAGGTTATACCCCTGGAAGTGAATCAATGTATTTCTGAAGAGAAATGGGATATTATAAAAAAAGAGTTCTATAGTGTTTTGTATTTTAAAAAGTACTTTACTAGCAGCAGAATGAATTTTGAAATGAATCTTTCAAATATAATGGGGAAACTCTCAGTAGAAGGTTAAACAGATAACATGAGAAAATTGTTATCCTTTTATTTAAGCAAATATTTTAAACTATTTTGGTGTGGTTATTTAAAACTAGGATTTTTAAAAAGTAGAGACCGGGCCTACACAAAATTCTACACGGTTTTAACAAAGACACAGATATTCAGCCGCTTCATTGAAGAATGCAGTTTTGTGAGTGACAAAGATACTGGCTTGGCATTTTTTGATGACTGTATAGAAAAGGTAAAGGCCTTTTTTTTCTACATAAATTTGATAATAGTTGGCTATGTCTTTTATATGTCTGCAGCTTTTGATTCTGTAATGATACCCTGAATATGTATTTGCAGTTGTGAATGAAATTCTGCCTTCTGGAGCTGTTTTGGTTGATTTCTTCTCTTGCTTTGTGTTGTGCCTTATGTAGAAAATGCTCAAAGAGCTGTTCTGTTATTACGTGTATATTACTAAATACAAATACAATATTTGGCCCTGTTAATGAGTGAGAATGGACTAGACAATCTTTGTAATAACTTGTGAACATTTTGGGTCTGTTCAGATGATATGTCTATAGCTTGCATTCCCTGTATAACAGTGGCCCCCAACTTTTCCCAACTGTGAACCGGTTGGGAGGGCATGTGGGGGCGTGGCGTGCTCAAGTACATGTGCGGGGTGTGCTTGTGGGGGGTGTTAACAGGGGGCAGGAGATCTGTGCCCGCAGCCCGCTTCTGCCTAGGCCACGGATCAGTGTCAGGTGGTGGACCAGGGGTTGGGGACCCCTGCTGTATAACATGAGTCCATAGGCCATTGTGGCTTCTTCCAATCAGTGTGTTGGGAGAACTAAGAGTTATATGAGTCTCCTCTATTCTGGACAGTCCCATACTTATTTGTTCAGTGTTCTGATTTTTACTCCAGTCTCATAGCCTTCAGAACTATGTATAAATATTCTGTTAAGGCTTTTGCTGGGTTAGAAGAATAAAACTGTTTGGACATAAAAATACATTATGCTCATTAAAAGATAAAAAGCATTGCTAATTTTATTTCTATTCCCTTTTCTAGCTTTTTCCTGAGAAAGGGTCAGAAAAGGGAGAAAAGGTATGTTTATTTATCTTAAGTTGTATATGGTGATTAAGTATATTTGGTAATGAAACAAGAATGGAAAATGTGGTTGTTCCGTCACTTGTATTGTAGTTGTTTATATATTAGTTCAATATATCTGACACCAACATCTTGTATGGTTTCTACACTCGACCAGCGTTGATTTCCCAGTAGTCCTTATGTCAGACTTGGCATGTAGATGGAAGGTGTACATTCAGCTGTTCACACATGTTTTCTTGTTACTGCTTCCTGTACTTAAGACTGCAGGCTAAGACATTTCAAGTCTTGACTTGAAACTGGGATATGCTGTATTTGCAGGGCGAAGTGGACTCTGCAGAGGATACCCGGTTGATTGAACTTGATGAATCACAGAAGAGTGAGCACACAGTGTTTATCATGCCACCCGAGCCTCCTCCTGATGATGGGCTGGAGAGATTACCAAAATACAGGTATTGTATTGTCCAATGAAAACTGGCTGCTTTTTGTCACTGCTCTTATTTATTTTAAAAAGTTATGTTTACTAATAAGGGTTTACTACAGTATTGAATTGAATCAGGAACTAGTTTGGATTTTTAAGAATCTATAGAATCTCACATGGTTTTTGTGTCGGTGTGTGGGTCTAAACCAAATCCCTTATGAATACACAGTGGAAGTGAAGAACAGATTTAAGGAACTAGATTTGGGAAACAGCGTGCCTGAAGAATTTTTGATTGAGGCTCGTGACATTGTACAGGAGGCAGCAACAAAAACCATCCCAAACAAAAGAAAATGCAAAAAAGCAAAGTGGCTGTCCAACGAGGCCTTAGAAATAGCAGAGAAGAGAAGGGAAACAAAATGCTAGGGAGATAGGGAAAGTTACAGAAAATTGAATGCAGACTTCCAAAGAATAGCAAGGAGAGACAAGAGGGCCTTCTTAAATGAACAATGCAAGGAAATAGAGGAAAATAATAGAAAGGGAAAAACCAGAGATCTGTTCAGGAAAATCAGATATATTAAAGGAACATTTTGTGCAAAGATGAACATGATAAAGGACAAAAATGGGAGGGACCTAACAGAAACAGAAGACATCAAGAAGAGGTGGCAAGAATACACAGAGAAATTATACCAGAAAGATTTGGATGTTGCTGAAAACCCAGATAATGTGGTTGCTGACCTTGAGCCAGATATCCTGGAGAGTGAAGTCAAGTGGGCCTTAGAAAGCTTGTCTAACAACAAGGCCAGTGGAGGTGATGGCATTCCAGTGGAACTATTCAAAATCTTAAAAGATGACGCTGTTAAGGTGCTACATTCAATATGCCAGCAAGTTTGGAAAACTCAACAGTGGCCAGAGGACTGGAAAAGATCACTCTACATCCCAATCCCAAAGAAGGGCAGTGCCAAAGAATGCTCCAACTACCGAACAATTGCACTCATTTCACACGCTCGTAAGGTGATGCTCAAAATCCTACAAGGTAGGTTTCAGCAGTATGTGGACCGAGAACTCCCAGAAGTACAAGCTGGATTTTGAAGGGCCAGAGGAACTAGAGACCAAATTGCTAACATGCACTGAATTATGGAGAAAGCCAGAGAGTTCCAGAAAAAATCTTCTTCTGCTTCATTGACTATGCAAAAGCCTTTGACTGTGTGGACCACAGCAATCTATAGCAAGTCCTTAAAGAAATGAGAGTGCCTCACCACCTTATTTATCTCCTGAGAAACCTATACATGGGATAGGAAGCAACAGTTAGAACTGGATATGGAACAACTGATTGGTTCAAAACTGAGAAAGGAGTACGACAAGGCTGTACACTGTTCCCCTGCTTATTCAACTTATATGCAGAATACATCATGCGAAAGGCTGGACTAGAGGAATCCCAAGCTGGAATTAAGATTGCCGGAAGAAATATCAACAACCTCCGATATGCAGATGATACCACTCTGATGGCAGAAAGTGAGGAGGAATTAAGGAACCTCCTAATGAGGGTGAAAGGGGAGTGTAAAAAACGGTCTGAAGCTCAATATAAAAAACCCTGATATCATGGCCACTGGTCCCATCACGTCCTGGCAAATAGAAAGGGAAGATATGGAGGCAGTGACAGATTTTACTTTCTTGGGCTCCATGATCACTGCAGATGGAGGCAGCAGCCCCGAAATTAAAAGACGCCTGCTTCTTGGGATGAAAGCGATGACAAACCTTGACAGCATCTTAAAAAGCAGAGACATCACCTTGCCAACAAAAGTCCGAATAGTCAAAGCTATGGTTTTTCCTGTAGTGATGTATGGAAGCGAGAGGCGGACCATAAAGAAAGCAGACCGCCAGAGAATTGATGCCTTTGAGTTGTGGTGCTGGAGGAGGCTCTTGAGAGTCCCCTGGACTGCAAGGCAAACAAACCTATCCATTCTAAAGGAAATAAAACCTGAGTGCTCACTGGAAGGACAGTTCCGGAAGCTGAGGCTCCAATACTTTAGCCATCTCATGAGAAGAGAAGACTCCTTGGAAAAGACCTTGATGTTGGGAAAGTGTGAGAGCAAGAGGAGAAGGGGACGACAGATGATGAGATGGTTGGACAGGGTCATCGACGCGACCAACATGAATTTGACACAACTCCAGGATGCAGTGGAAGATAGGAGAGCCTGGCGTGCTCTGGTCCATGGGGTCACAAAGAGTCGGACACAAATAAACGACTAAACAACAACGTGTGTCTTCATGCAAATTGTACCCCCCCATGTCGTACCTGTATGTTGTAAGTACAGTGGTGCCTTGCAAGACGAAATTAATCCATTCCGGGGTTAATGTCATCTTGCGATATTTTCGTCTTGTGAGCTGCAGTTTCCCATAGGAATGCATTGAAATTTAATTAATGTGTTCCTATGGGAATTTTTTTTAAAAGTCACTTACCAGTTAGGGAGCTGGGGAAGCACCATCAGAGGACTGGCAGGGGTTCCCCTCGCCCAGACCGTCACCTTAGGAGGTCCCCTGGGGCTTCCCTTGCACCATCGGAAGACTGGCGGGGTTCCCTCTGAGCGCTAAGCAGCACTTGCAGAGGCTTGTACAGCACCATTTTTGAAGATTGTGCTCCGAATGGAAAAAGGAAAAAAAAGAAAGCCTTTTTCCATTTGGAGCCTTACCAAAGGCAGGGAGCTTCCCTTGCACCATTGAAAGACTGGCGGGGGGTGGGGGCTCCGGTCGAGTGGTGCTTGCAGAGGCCTTGCAGAGGCTTGTCCAGCACCATTTTTGAAGAGTGCGCCATTTCTCCCTGCCTTCGGTATGGCTTTTAATGGAAAAAGGGGGGAAAGCCTTTGTTACTTCAGCAAGCCTCCAGCACCATTTTTGAAGAGCGCACCCTTTCTCTCTGCCTTCGGTAAGGCTCCGAATGGAAAAAAGGCTTTCTTTTTTCTTCCTTTTTCTGTTCGGAGGTTTGCTGAAGGCGGGGAGAAAGGGTGCCCTCTTCAAAAATGGTGCTGGGCTAGCCTCTGCAAGCGCATTCGTCGTGAGAAAAACGGCCATAGGAAGAATCGTCTTGCGAGGCACCAAAAACCTCGCCGGACCATTTTGTCTAGCGAGTTTTTCATCCGGCGAGGCAATCGCCTTGCGAGGCACCACTGTAAATGGGAAGGCGAGTGTCTCCCAGCCTTCTACTCAGTGAATGCTTATCTCAGGCCAGGAATAGGATGCATGGATGGTGGCAGATTTTCCTCCCACTGAAGACCAGCCACCTACTTTCTCCAGCTGCTGAGGGTGCAGCAGAGCCGAGCGGGAAGGAACAGTCCATGTTACAGTGGGGCTGAGTTTACAGAAAGTGGTTAGGGGAGCAAGAATCACAAGTTTTAGCACAGCTGTGGGGATGACAGCAGCAGCAACCTATCCCCAGTCTTCTCCCAATTTTAATATTAAATTTTTAAAATAAATTTTGAACTGCCATAGGTAGAATGATATAGCGATAAAATAGAAACTGTTTTTTTTTAAAGGAGGAGTTTGGACCGATGGGTATTCTGCAGTCCAAAACCACCTTTATTTGGCACCTGTTTCAGCAAACCCTGCAGACCTCCCACAGACACTTTTTACTCCCAACACATGCATTTAGACATCCCAAAACGAGTTTTAAAAATCATCACTAGAATCAACTTAAAATAAACAACCCCCTGGGTGCTTTAAAAAACTTGCTTTCCAACCAAAAAGGTGAGCACTTGGCTGTACACTCTATATGCATATATTTTTCAATTGATTTCAAGGATGCTAAACCCAATGCAAAACCAAGAGCATTGTGACATGTAGCCAAGCCCTAAGTTAGTATTACTTCTTGTGTTTGACTTCTAACTATTGAAATATACATACAACCTTCATTTTGGTCTGTTCTGAATTCAGCTGTTCTGTCAACATTGGAACCATAGTGGCCAGTTTCTGCTGCAGCTTCCTTCTACCCACTTTTATTAACAAAGTAATACGGCATAATTGTTAGCAATGTGGAGATCCTTTGGGGACTCCTGATTTTCAGAACTATTGTGGAATGTGAAAATAACAAATTGTCCATCATATCCTAACATTTTTAAAATCAAAAAAGATAATGTCATACTGGAATCATGAAGTTTAGAATTCTAAATATAACCTAATGTGAAAATGTTATGTTTGGATCTAAATAAATATGTAGCTGGTTTTGAATATGGAAGAGAAATCAGGACCTGAATTACACATATAGCATCTCTCTGCTTCATTCTACTTGTCAAAATTCACACAGAATTTGTTAGATACCATGTGGATAAATTGATATAAAAATGAATGAATTCATTTGTCACACCCAAACCCTTGTTCAATTCCTGCAATTCAATCCAAATAATTTTGTTTGGCTGACAGAAACCTCCTTTCATTTGTGGAAATGAGTTAGATCTCACTATAGTTCACATGCTGGCGAATCTGACATAATTAGTGAAAGGGGTGCAAGTTTTGCAAATTTCAGTAACCTTTGTAGCCCCAAGAGGTATTGCTCCACAAGAACTGTCCCCCATCCGAAATCTACCATAGTAGGTTTGCAAGTGAAAAGACAACTCTGCAGAGGGAAGGGAAGGAATCTGCCTCCCTTTTGCCTTCATTTACAGGATTTCCTGGAATTCCAATCGATGAAACTCTGGATTCTCTGTCTCTCTCCACATTTATGCCTTCATTCAAGTGACGTGTAAATGCTATCTAAAGGATTAGAGATCATTCTTTCACCTTAAATACTCTTATGTACAATGTTCTAATACACGGTGTTCTGATACAATTCTTTCATCACATTCCATTTAATCCACTCCTCTTTTAGAAAGATGGCTAATGCATTGATATATAATTATTTTTTGTGTAAAGCCAAGGTATATATCTTATGCTAAATATTTTGTGTTAAAACAAACAGCAGAGTAGTTCACATATTTTTGACCCTTTTCTTCCAGCTATAAAACGTTCCCTAGGCTAGATTTAAAACTATTTGACAGACCACAGGAGCTCAGGCTTTCATTCAAGAGACATCCAGCTGGTGGCAATGTTTCCAATAGTCCAGCACTCATGGCGAAGAGGACAAAACAGGTCAGTTTTGATTTTAAAATGTTTTGTGACTATAATGTATAGATGCATAGAAGTAAGTAAACATGCACCCTTCTGGATGTTGTTGAACTCCCATCAGCCAAGATGAGGGTAGCTGGCAGTTGCAGTCTCACAGTAGGTCTAGTATAAGCCTAAGGGCAAGGATTGCCTTGTTTGTTTTTTATCTGCAAGTCTTTGGCTGAAGATCAGGATAAAATGCTTTAGATCAGTCATTCTCTCACATACACACACCCCCTTTTTTTTGAAAAACATAATATGAAAGATAGAAAAATATAATATGAAAGAAATATAGGCCAAATCAGGGCTGTATAAGTTACATAATGGACCTTATAAGATTGTGTGTGAAAAACTGTTTCCAGTATGTAAGGTAAAGGTAAAGATTCCCCTTGCCATTTAGTCCAGTTGTGTACGACTCTAGGGCACATTGCTTATCCCAGTCTCCAAGCCGTAGAGCCAGTACTTGTCCGAAGACAGTTTCCATGGTCACGTGGCCAGTGTGACTAGACACAGAAGGCGGTTCCTTTCCCACCGTGATGGTACCTATTTATCTACTCGCATTTACATGCTTTCGAACTGCTCGTTTGGGAGCAGCTGGGACAAGCGACAGGAGCTCACTCCATCACGTGGATTCGATCTTACAACTGCTGATCTTCTGACCTTGCAGCACAGTGGCTTCTGCGGTTTAACCTGCAGCGCCACCATGTCCCATTCCAGTATGTGCCCCCCTTCAAAAGTGCCAGGAGACCATATGGCCCTTGTTGAGAATGGCTTATCCAGAAGAGGAGAAGGACTGAGACCTGAAAGCTCAGCAATGGCTTCAGAAATGACATGCATGAAACGCACACATATCCCATCTTTCTGCATTGCAGATATGACATGCCACCTGATCATTGTTAATATTTTGGTATACTTTTCTGTTCTGCAGGAGATAAAAGCAGCTCATAAGCAAGCTAAGAGATACTACACAAATCCTCCACAGTGGGCCAAGTGTCTCTTCAGTCATTGTTACAGCTTATGGTTCATTTGTCTCCCAGCTTATGTTAGAGCATCCAATTGCAAGGTCACAGCTTTACAGCAAACATATGAAGTACTCATCAAAATGAAGAAAATGGATGTAGAACCTTTAGATGAAGTAAGTTGAGAAAATCGCTAAACCTCATGAAGAGATGTGAATATATTCAATCTGTATTTATTTATTTAATTAATTAATTACTTTTTATACTGCCCATCTAACCCAACTGTTACTCTGGGCAGTTAACATGAATAATAAGAGCATAACAAAAACATTACACAATCAGTGCCAGCATAAAATAAATAACATATTAAATTGAATAAGGAACAATTAAGACATTTAGAACATGTAAACCATTATTAAGAAAATTAAAGAAGGAAGTAATTAGATGAAAGACTAGTGCACTCTGGTCTTAATTGGGGACCTCTGAAAGGTCTGTCAGAACAAGAATGTTTTAAAGAGCTTTTTAAAAGACATCAGGGAGGGGGCAAGGTAGATTTCAGGTGGTAAATCATTCGTCGTGTTCAGTACACTCAGCCAGCCAGCTTGCAAAGTGCATGTCGGATGGGCAATCCCTGTTCTGCCATGTACTGAGGGCCCAAAACATTATGGTTTTATCAATACCATCACCTTTCTTTCATTATGTTCTCTGTCTATATTTGAGCTATCCATGCATGGGTTAATGCACTTCAGGTTACATGTTGTTAAAAAGACAAAATTCAGATAGCCTTCTCTCAGGGGACAAAGTCTTCCAAATCCCGCTATCAGACACATACAGTTGTGCCTCGACTTACAAACTTAATTGGTTCCGGAACTCAGTTGTAACTCGAAATGGTCGTAAGATGAAGTACCATTTCCCATAGGAATGCATTGAAATGCAATTAATCCGTTCCGGCCGAAGAAAAAAAATCACCAAAAAAAATCACCAAAAAACCCTGCAAGTCTCATTGGAAACGTGATTAATTCATTCTGGCCAAAGGGGGGGGGGGAAGCAAACAAACCGTGCAAGATCCTTCGGAAAGGGGGGGGGGGGGTAAAGGAGAAAGCAAACAACTATGCAAGACCCTTCAGAAATGCAAAAAAAAGCAATGCAGAAAGCAAACAAACCCTGCAAGACCCATTGGAAAAGGGGGGAAGCCCAAAAAACAAAACCTGCAAGACCCATCACAGCATAGAAACATAATCCCACCACCCAGCCCAAAATACGCCGCAAAACCCACCCAAAACAGTTTTTAAAAAGTAGAAAGCAGCACCCTACCAGGCAGTCCAAAGCCTCCTCTGATCGCACACTCTCTAACTGCTGGGGCAAAAGAGCTACAAAGAAGCAGCCTCTTCGCCACCAACGTTTAGCAATTTGAATTCCCTGCCTTTTTTCCCTGCCTTTTTCTGATTGTAACTCAAAACTCTGATCGCAAGTAGAAGCAAATTTTTGCAGCCAGAACTGGTTGTAATTCGAAATGGTCGTATGTCGGGACATTCGTACGTTGTGGCACCACTGTATTCAGAAATCTGTTTTTCCTTTATCAGACTATTTCATAATTTTAGGTCCTTCTCCCCCCCTTAAAATGTAATATAAAAAGACAGATTAATGATTAGATGAAATCTTCATGTCCTGTGGGAAAGTAACATTAGCAGCTCCTTGATGCAGAAAAAGGAAATTGTTTCCAGCTGGTTGTCTTAAATCATCTGTAAACTTTAAACACTCATTCTAAAATTATTAGTCTTCTCTTCCACTTGGACTGTAATGGGGAATTCAGTAACCTTGGCCATAATACCTCATCAAGGATTGGATAAATTCCCTTGCATGATGAGTTTACCTTTTTTAATTTCAACCTATTTTAACTAAAAATATTAAAGGATATCCATGTAGATGCAGATGCTTAATTTCATCTATGAGAGAAAGAGAGAGATTTATGGGTGTGTATTGAGAGTGTCAAGTTTGGCAAGTTGAGAAACATTTGAATAATGCTACTGTTGTTACCTCCTCAGTTTTGCTGAGGTAGTTTGCCCAAACCTGAAACAAAGCACTGTAAATCCCATTAGCCATAACATGGTTTGGAAATCAGTGTTTTAGATGGCGAAGGTAGCACATCTGCTTTTAAAAAAATGTATTGTTTGAAGTATGAAGGACTTAACGTTAAATGCATCTTAGTATAGTGGTGCCTCGCTTAGCGATTGCTTCGTTTAACAAAGAATTCACTTAACGATGTGTTTCTTCGAGGAATTTTCTGCATCGTTTAACCATGTTCTCTATGGGGGATTTTCACTTAACGATGTCCATTTTTGCTCATTTTTAAGTGTCTTAAAATGTTTGAAACCTGTTTTAAATGCTTGGAATCAGTAGTGCACCTTGTGAAACCTATGCAAACTTAATTTGGCTTTGTTCTGAGTCTTCGTTAATTTTTGGTGATTTTTTGTTTTCCCCATTTAAATCCATTGAACGGACACCAAAAATTAACGAAGACTCAGAACAAAGCCAAATTAAGTTTGCATAGGTTTCACAAGGTGCACTACCAATTTCAAGCATTTAAAACAGGTTTCAAACATTTTAAGACACTTAAAAATGAGCGAAAACAGACATCGGAAAAGCTATTGAAAAACATTGAAGCTGACTCAATGCTTTTCAATGGCTTTCCAATGGGGGAAACATTGTTTCACTTAGTGATGTTTCCTATGGGGATTTTCGCTTAAGGACGGTAATCCGTTCCCATTGGAACGGATTAACTGGTTTTCAATGCATTCCTATGGGAAATGGTGTTTCGCTTAACGATGTTTTCCCATAGCGATGTTTTTTTTGGAATCAATTAACATCGTTAAGTGAGGCACCACTGTACTTAATATTAAGTTTACACTTAGGTATGTTGACACACATTACTGAACACTCACTGGACTAGATGATAATGTAATTGGAATAATTTCATGTAATGTACATATTAACTGTGGTATGCTTCATGTAACTATTTTTAGAAAGGATTGTGGCGGCTGTCACATATGTCAGATATTTCTTGTATTCTGGTGTGGCACTGGCTTAGACTAATACAGTGTGCTTTTCTCTCTGTTTTAATAAACAAAATTAAAAAGAACCTGCCCACCCACACCCATTAGGAAGCAGGGAAGAGTCAAGAGGTCCAAAGTTCCTTTCATTGTAGAATTCCTTTCTCTTCTCTTTCTTATTGTTTGTTATATGAATATTCTTACAGTACCAGAATTCTGTAGTTTATGCTATCCATTTACTCTAATGAGTCCAAAGAATCCTTCTGCCACTACCACAACATAGATTGCAGTTTAGTACAAATTAAAACAGGCTGCAGCTATGTCCAATGGCTTCTCCATTGGGCTATGCTATGTCCCATCTCCCATGGCTGATGGTGTTGAGTATAATAGTGGCCATCCATCCATCCTCATGTGATACCACAAGACACTGTATGCCACATGGTGATACTACCAGAGCTGGGCATCCAGGCATAGGACCAAGACCTCTTATCCAGGATGAAAATGTCAGGTGGTGCAGTGGAGCCCTGCTGTACACAATCATGTGCTGCAATATCCAAAGGAATTGAAAGAAAGAAAATGAAGAAAGAGAAGACATTGTGAAAACTGGTGCCTCCTTCACCACCACTGTATTGGTAAATTAGGTTAGTTAGAACAGATCCCTCTTATTTTTTTAACAACCCGGGTTGTTAGAGGATTAGCACTGATGTGCCTAACAAGCTGTGTAAAGAGTTCTGAAAAGACAGACCCAGGGGATCTTTCAATCCTTTCCTGATGAGTGTGGGTGGACAGAGATCCCTTTTTGTTTTGTTCATTAAAGCAGAGAAAATCATCTGCTTGTTCCCTTTCCCTATTTCCCAAGCAGTGGGAAGAAAATTAACAGGGCCTTATCCTTTGTTTTCCTGGGGGAACAGGAATTTGCAAGAGACCATGGGTCAAGGGTAGAAGAGGTGAAGGCATGAGAGCAGTCTAGATCAAGGCCTGAAAGCATCAGTTATGCCACAACAGTTGCCAACACTCTTCAGATACTTGCTTTCAGTGCAGCAAGCAGCTCACTGATTTGAACTAGGGATTGCTCATGGTGGCATGTTTTAAACCCATATTCTTCAGCTTTATATTGTAGAGCAAGCGGTGCCTCCTCAACTAGAGTGGTCGAAATGACTAGATAGGCGGAGTATAAATACAATAAATAAATAAACAAACAAACAAACAAACAATATATTTTTGAATGTTTTGCTAATTTAATTTTTTTTCTTCCTTAGCTGATTGCTGAGGCAGAAAGATTATATCCTTCTCTATGTTTCTCAGACACAATCACTGCTGATGCTTTGGTCGCTTTAGATTATAATAAACGATCATGTGCTTTATTAGGTTTGCTATAGAGTTGTAATGCTGCTCTGTGGACTTTGGGGCCATCCTGTTCTGGCTGTGAGGGTCCTCTTTGAAATGAAAAGTGCTGGCATACAACCAAATGCAATCACGTATGGTTACTACAACAAGGTAAGCAAGCAATACAAAATAAAAAATACGTATTTGGAATAAAAAATCCCAACCTTCCTGATTAGGTTTGTTATTTTTGCTCACTGCCTGAGTACTGGGGCAGTGATGTGAAGTCTCATCAATCATGTTGAAACTCCTTGGTGGGACCTTTGAGAAGAGGGCATTGATGGCCAAGGGCTCAGATTTGAAATATTGACTGATGAGGCAGTCAGCAGCTGAAGTGGGAGATAGAGGAGAATGTGTGTTCAAAAGTTTGAGGAAAGAGGATATTGTTAATTAGAAATACATTCCTGTAAGGTACAGGAATATGGTGCATTCAAAAGGGAAGAAGGTTGTTAATATTGTGAACTTGGACAATGGAGCAATAGAGAACCTATAAACAAAAATTCCCCACACTCCTCTGGCCAGGGGGAGGGGGGCTTCAGAGTTTGAATTTTGTATAAATAAAGTATTATATGATTAAGGGTATAAAATGTAACCTGGGAAATATAATTATAATGTAGGAGTTTGAACAGTAATTAATTGCTGGTAGAAGTTACTTCAGGACAAAGAGATATAACTTTGAAAACAGAAAAATAAAAAAGTAGCAGTTAGAATAGCAATATACTGAATTAGAGGCAGAGCAATTACAAATCTTCCATTAATTTTCATGGAAATTGGCATTAATATCAGAGCCTATGGAAAAGTCTCTTAGACTCACAATGATAGCAACTTGAATAGAGAATGCATGATGTTTGCTACCATAGCAGACTGAGGAAATTAATTGAATCTGGTAGCTTAGGGCAGAGAAAAGAAAAGAGAGAATGCAATTGTTTCCTCTTATAGTGGACCCTCTACTTACGGAATTAATCCGTATTGGAACAGTGGCTGCAGGTCGAAAAATCTGTAGGTCGAGTCTCCATTGACCTACAATGCATTGAAAACCGATTAATCCCGTAACCGGCTGTTTTTGTTCCATTTTTGTTCCATTTTGGTTTTTTTCTGGTCTGTAGGTCGATTCTCAAGCTGCAAGTCGAACCTAAATTTTGCGGCCAGAGAAGTCTAACTCGAAAAGTCTGTAAGTCGAGCCATCTGTAAGTCGAGGGTCCACTGTATCAGAGAAAGTTTGCTTGGATAGCAGAGTCTGAGATTTTGCATTGGCCTTCTGTTAGTGGAATCTTCAAGCTTAGCAAGAATATGTAAACAATAGATTAGAATATATAAAAACTTCTATGCTTATAAAAGGGCTGGTGTAATGTAAGCAAGTTGCTAGAGCTGGTGAAGCCATGTGAGCCACAACAGAGTCATGCCAAGCCAACATGAGAAGCTGGAGGGAGGAAAAAGATAATGGTAGCTGCAGAGACAGCAGCATATAGGCAACACACAGAAATTATAGATTTTGCTCCATAGATTTTAACTGGTAGATGGCTGGGGGAGCACGTAGAAAATATAATGTTTTCCCATGTGTGTGTCCAAATATGCTACAAGGCTAAGAAATGTATTTCTTCTTTTATTGATTTAACTTTTTTAAAGATATGTGCTTTATGAATCTGTAAAATGTTATATATTTTTTAATATTTTATTATATTTTTTCTACTTTTTGATCCGTTGCAACCAGAGTGATTTTTTACAATATATTCCATTCATTTAATCTTATCTTATACTCTCTAACATATTATTGATCTAATCTATTCTACTTAAATTGATGTAGATTTCATCCAGGTATAAAGAGGTTCCCTTTTATTATTATCCAGTCTGTCATTTAGTATATCTGCCAAAATATCCATTTCTGCTAGTTCCAAAATCTTCTCAATAAATTCCTTCTTTGTCGGGACCTCTGACATCTTCCACTTACTGGCATATACGATTGTAGCTGCCATTATCAGGTGTAAGGTCAAGTAGGTCTTGTTTTTTTTTAAGTATAAGTGGTGTCGCTAACACGGGTTCGAAAACACACGTGTAAGCTTGGACAGAGAGCAATCAGGAGTTTGCACATGCTAAAATGGGCTGAATGAGTCCAAATTCAGCTAGCCATAATACAACACTCCTTCTCGCAGGTCTGCCCACATAAGAACACCCTGGTACTCTCAGATATTATTGTGAAAAGGTCAAGTGGGCTTTGTAGTCCTTAGACTTAACTTGCACCACTGACAGGACTCTAAGTAAGCTAGGCCGAGGCAGCACTCTCAGATGACCCTATGGCAAGTGTACTGTTCAGGAAACCAAATGAGTTTTATAATCTTTATTTTATTAAAGAAAAAGCATGTTACTAGGTATCAAAGCCAAATTCAACCAAAATAAATAAACTAGCATTGTGCTGTTTAGTTACACAGATGTAGTGAGGCAAAGAAAACATGAAAAATA